ATTAGCCCTATGTTACAGGCTGAAACCCACATCCCCCATGGATCAAACCCAAGTTACACCAAGTGTTTGCTTACACGCCCGCGTATGAAACGGTGCCTGTGCTGCACGTGTTCCTCACTGCAGGGCAGCCTCCGCAGGAGATGAGGTTCATAAGCAGACGAGCACTGAAAAAATTCAGTCTAGAATTCATTCGTAAATAGTTACAGGGCTGTTTTGAAGAATTACAGAGAGACGTTCAGCCTGCTTCCACATCAACATGAAACTACGCTGCCTATGACAGCTATGTTGTTTCATCAAAGCAAATCCTCTTTTCCAAACACATTTCTTTTGTTCTACAGAACTGTTAATTAAAAGAAGTTACGAAATTCAGTAATGGAACTAAGTGGGAAATAAAATGTCTTCTACTCTTTGATATATTTAATTTTATTTCAGAGGCATCAGTGTCAACCTAACAAGCCCCAGACTGCTGTCACCACCCAGAATTAAATTCTTTAGTAGTTTTCATGGGCAGAAAATTTAATTGAGCAAAATGCCTGAAGACAGTGGGTACATTTTTTGGTTTTAATCGTAAAGCTGGGACTTGCCCCAGCCCCTCTTACCCTGAGGCAGACCCTGGCTTTCTGCTGCTGGAGAGGGTGAAGCGTGGCTGTGTGGCAGACCCCGCAGGCACCGTGCTGCAGCAATGCTGGCTCCACCAGTGCCTGATCCCTCACCTCATCAGTGGGACAGGCAGCGGGGGGCCCAAGGAGCCCCCAGAGGAGCTAATTCTGCAATCACCTCTGTGAACAGTGCAGAAAAGCTTTTCCGGCCACAGGCTCTCAGTGCTCACGCTAGGAGCTCTCGGCTTGTATCTGGCTAGACAGCAGGCTAGAGGAGAAATGAAGATGTAAACCAGGTCACGCACGTATTTAAACTGACATTTTTTTTTGTACTTAAAACCTGCTGTTGTCTTTCCAGGAATGCATAAAACCCAGCCAAATATTTTCTTCATGTGTACATAGGACAAACGCCAGAGATTATACATTCAACAAGAAGAAATACACCGAGAATCTAGCTGTGCTGAATTTTTGTCAGATGCTAACACAGAGACTACGTGATTAAAAAAATAGAAAATTTCCCTCTTTTAATGAGTCTTAACAGAAATTATCATGCACTCACACGATAGGCTGGTATGCAGTGATTTTGCCCTAGTTAAATTCAGTAACAGCCTCGTTCATGGATACTGTGGGAAAAACTCTTCAGGGACTAGTGGGGTTTTAGAAATCCTCTGCCTCAAGACAATGAAACTTTCACTGAGGCAACTTCTTTGTGCAATGCTTGAGAAAACATGCATCACCCTTCAAAGCTAAGCAAAAACCAGGGGTATCCCAGGACAGTTTGGGGGAAAAAAAGCAATTGGCAATAGGCATGATGCTTCACTGATGCCAGTACTTAATAACCCTAATGCTGAACTTCCTGAGGTTTCTTTAATGTAAAATAAGGTCATTCTACCATACATGTTTTCTCAACTATGCCAGATCACCTGAGGAATTATCCTTTAGGTCACAACTGAGAAAAACCAGCACAGTAAATGATAAAATACACTCCTATAGCTTGCCACACATACACTGTCTTCCAAAATTACAACGTCACCTTGAATTGTGGCCTTGATGAACACAACTAGAAGGTGTGTTTTTTTTATATATATATATATATATATATATATATACACACACGTACACTTTTTCTTTTTTGCACACCGACATCCACACACACACACACAGATAGATAGAACAACAATACTCTTGTGTATACTACTCAAATGCCTGTCTAGAGCAGTTCAGTAATTATGGGAAATTTGAAAAGTTAGTTATTTTTTAGGTTATCGTAATATGGGTGGTAAGCATGATATAGCACATGCAGTAAATGAAGCAAAACACAAACAAAACAGAAGAGGGATCTGCCACAGTCATTGGCTGAATTTACCTGAAGAGAAGAGACTTTTCTTCTGCCCTTTAAAAATGAAATACACCCAAAAACACTCCAAACCACTGATGGCTTTACAATTAAAGACATCATACCCATAGATCAACATGACCAATGAGGAACTGAAAGCAGAACTTAATACTACTGCACACTCTTGCCAGTATTCACCAAACTCACACAATTGTGATCATTTCTGAACAAAAATTAATAGGACAAAATCCAATGTACCAGAACTGAATTATTCTAATCCATAGGATGTACCCTGAAAGCTGTTAAAATGGCCAATTGTACCGTCTGTACTGACACTAGGCAACACAGTGGTGCTAGAGGTGCTAGAAGGGATGGCCGTTCCAGCTGCTAATTTCTGTGGCTCAACTTTAACAATGAGACTGTTTTTTAAAACCTAGGAAGGAAGGAAAGCAGATAGAAAACATAAACCAAAAAATCAGTCAAGAGTACATTAGGACAGAAGGTAATTAACTAGCTTGCTGATAGACACTCATCAGGTTCGATATTTATGCCAGGATATATTATCCCAATCACCAAGAAACCTAAATAGTACATTGCCACCACATGATCTATATAATTGTATCTTCTGATTGCAGATGGAAACTATTCTAAATTCATCCTTTATACTGTCAGCAGAAATAAGAATACAGCTCGTTATTATACAAGTGTCAGCAATTTACTTGACACGAGCGTGTACACTCACTTGCTTTTCCAGGGCTCTTTGGTTTAAGGTGACAGCTCTCAATTTCTCTGCTGCCTTGCAAACTCTGTTTTTAGAAATTGCACCTCATTAGAGCATTTGGCTATTAAACAATGACCACTCCATGAGGAAGAACTGTCTTTAGATGACAAAGGTATCTGAATACACAAAATAAGACTGGAACTTCTCATGAAAACCAAGTCTAACAGAGAAAGAATGAAAAAAAGGGAGGTGGTGAAAATAAGATAAGTAGAAGAAAATAAAGCAACTGTATAAAGTCTTATTATCAATAGGATGTTACAGAATAACAAACGTTCGGGACTTAATGATGGAAAAGAGCATGCTCACGTTTCTTCATAGAATAAAGACCTTAAAATAGCATTTCCAATGCAGACATTTTTAACGAAACAAAATAAGGCAAGGTAAATGCACCACAGTACCTGGGGGTGCTGGGATGGCTTGATTAATTCCTCCTCTTTCTGATGATGCAGACTTTTACTGGAACCCTTATTAGTGGAAGGCTACAAATTGTTTAAGAAATTCTTCCTTAAATCCTCTAAGGCAACAAATTTCTCCTCATTCTTCCACAATGAGTATTCACATTTTTGATACAAAATAGAAGAGCTCCATTAGAAGAGACTGAAACAAGGCCACCCCAAACATTTAGTATTGCCACCAAGGCACATTCAAGAGCGCAGAAAATTGTAGGCCAAGACCCTGCAGGCAAAGAAGGAAGCTGAACTTCTGGAAGACTTTTCACATTTCTGCAATTTGGTAGCACACAATATTTCAGGTTTTGTCAACCTAGAGCCAATTCTCATTCCAGCTATAAATATCTATAATTTTGAACTGAGTATGATGAATAGTTTTAGGGTATCGAAAGTACTTTCTTTTCTTTTTTCCTGGTTCCCAAATGAGCAATTGCCTATCCCCTATTACTTGTCCCATTTCCAGTGATGAAGTCCTACAAAATGTATCGATAATTTATCCTTTCTCCGTCACTCATATTTTATAACACTTTCAGTTTGTTAAGTTGCCCAGAAGAATTCACTTTACATCAAAGGTAATGGTGACTTTCAAGAAGATCCATTTCAAAGCAAGATGTTACTTTTCATTCACAGATTGATTTCTTAGAAAATTTACATTCTCCTTTCATTTGTGTTCCAAGAGAAACTTAAATCCAAGTTTATTTCTTTCCAGCTATGCTTTTTATCTGGATTCTGAGAATATTTGCTGCCTTAGGAAATGTGTACTTGGCTCCATTTGTTTTCTTTTTGATGTTAACAAAATCAAAATTGGGGGCAATAGATCCCTGCACAGGAACCACAGTCAAAGATTGAGAATTGCTTCTCTGTGTAAGGAAAAAACAAAATTTGTTTATTCCTAGTGAGTTTCAGGGTTCAGCACATATAACAGGACTCTTGAATTCTGCCTGGTGTTTGCACAAAAGAATGTCTTATATAGCAAGAGGTGAAACTCTTTCCTTTCAACTCCAACAACCACATAAGAGAACCCAGTTAAAACATTCCTTGACACAGTCAGACCTTGGCGTTCCTCTGAAGCATAAACATGACCATGTTTAACCTAGTCCTTGAATCAGATGATTGGTGTGTGCTGCATAAACCTCTGGCCTGGTTCAAGGACACTGGCAGAGCACAGCAACGCTGGGTGCCTGCTCTCCTGAACAAACAGCTCCTCTTTCCACCGCTCGCTGTGCAACACAAAAGCAAGGCTCCAACACTAAAGCACTGGAGAATGGTTTTCCTTCATTTCCCTCCAGCCAGTATTCTCTGTCTTTCTCTCCCCTCAACATGTACCCATGTCAAAAGAAATTTCCCTTTCTTTTTAGTCAAAGAATGGTTTCTGATTGCCCCCATGCATATGGAAGACTTTAACATCGAAAACGTTTGCGCACGACAAATTACACTTTCTCCCAGTTTAAACATTCAGGGTTTTCTTCCTGCTTCTGAACTACAAAAAAATAAATAGTAATAAAAATCAAATGTATTGTAGTTACTGATGAGAACTGTTTAAACAGCAAGACTAGTTATAAACAGTCAGTGATGACAGACTACCATATGTTAGGCTTCCTGTTATCGTGCCAGAAAACATTATAATCACCTTAATTATGGCAACAGAGTGATTTTTCCCCTCACTGGTGATGTAATGCAGTAAAGTGCAACTTCTTCTGTTCCACAGTATATTACTGTCTATAGCACAGACAAGCATATGCACATATTGTCAAGCATTCGTGCAAACAGATCAATTTGCCAAATACTCAACTAACCTAAATGGTCTCAAAAGAAGGAAAGAAAGCAAACTTTACCTTGTGTGTTTTGTTGAAATATTTTGTTCAGGTCCAAAGAGGAAGCTCTGGAATGTGATTTCTGTGGCCTTGGAGGTGGAGTGGGGGGCTCTTCTCCCTTTTTCATGGCATCTTCTATTGATGTGCTAGAATAAGACCTAAGGAGGAAAAGATGTAAAAGCAGAAAATATTTTATTTCAGAAATTCATCTTAAACAACTACAGTGAACAGTATCTAAAAACACACTGACCAGAACTCAAGTTCATGGTGGAAATCCCTCGCCCTACTGACTTAAGTTCCCCTTATAACAAGGCAGATTTATTTGGCAACAGAGGGAACCATGCATCTTGGGAAATGGATGGATCACACTGACAGCTAATATTTTTTAAGGCTTTTTATACCACAGTTTCAGGCTCTTCTCGTGTATCTTTAACTGCCACTATGATAATTGCAGCAACTATTTTGAATAAATGCAGGTAAAAAATAATTTTCTTTACAGCTTCTTTTGCTTGCCTTTCACAACTGTGAGAGTAGTGTTTATAGAGGTATAGCTTCAACTTGCCTCTTGCAAGTACATATTTTGCAAACTGTGATATTCTAACTACCAGAGTAAATTTTTTCAGAGCAAACTGTCACCAAATTCCAAAAAATCCAGAAAAATGAGTGAATCCAAAGCAACCCATACTGTTCAAGTACGTATCTCAGTACACCTTTCTAGGCCGCTCCAGGTAAGTCCATATCATGCTAATCCCAGCACAGTGCATTTGCTAAGAACTCTGATTTTGCTGAATAGTGTCCAATATTTTTCAGTGGTTGCAGTTACCATTTTTTTCTGCACGACCGAGAGCTTTGTTCAAAATGAGCATTGACAACGTGAGATGTTATACTTACTGTAATACATTATGCATGACAGGCAAGACCAAAAACACATTCGAGGAGAACAGAAATAACTCCCACTAATGGGAAACGGATCTTTTCTTGCCAAGCAGGCTGTTGTTAGAACACAGCTATTTAGCAGGACAGACGTTTGGCAATGCTGATCCTGTATTTCTGATGTAAACTTTAATAAATACAGGAGTGAAAGCTGCAATTGCTTCAAAATTTACATGTGACACAAAAACCTCTGCTGATGCTGAATTTTTCGATCTTGGTAGAGCTTTGAATTCCACAGCCCTATCATTTAAGACCTAATCCAACCCCTCTGAAATAAATGGGAATGTTTTTTGTTGGTTTTGTTTGCCTGTTTTTTACTTTCTTATACTTTTATTTTCCATAATATATGGTATATACTTTACTTGCCTTACAATTGTACAACCAAACAGTTTGAGATTTTTTTTTAAAGAAAGAATAAGACAGCAGCTACTAGGTAAAAATATGCCTGCTGCAGCAGTGCCAACACATAGCCCTATGACAGTGAATCGCTGCTTACAACAGGCAGACCTGGGCACCTCAGAGTCAGCAGCTAAGAGTCTGCACAGCTCACACTAGAGAGCCAGCCTCCTGAGCTGGGAGCTCTAAGAGACTCGAATCGTAGCCTCTGGTGGTGAGGCATGCATGAAGACAGACAGCCCTGAGGCTGTAGAGCCCTCCAGGCTGTGCCAGGCTGAAGGTCTGGGTGCAAGGATGTGCCTAAGGAACTTTAGCCCCAACTTCTGCATTGACACGGTGAGATATAGTCACATGTGAGACAGTCATGTGTGACACAGTAGTCACATTCAAGTGACTTTTTCAAATGTTTAAACAATGCTTGCTATTTTATGCATTTTTTTGTTTAAATGCCTTTGTGTGTGTCTTACATAAAATATTTTTATGTATATTTTGCATATTTGCACTTCACGATTCAGTAATCATCAAGAGAATTTAAAACAGCGTGACAACAAAAAAAGCTTTGGCTAGGAGCAGAAAAATGACAGAAGGCAGTTCAGTCTTTCTGGATGTGGGTCCTAAGCACAGAGGATTTCCACCTTCATTCATTATGTGGATTGCTCATCCTCTCTTATTAGCAGCCCTTGACAAGCTTAGGAGAGAGCTCTTGCTATACTCTTATAGCCTAAGAAAAAGAAATTAAGCTCCCCTGACCAGCTCAAAAAAAAAAAAAAAGCTTTAAGGTGAATGAATGATAGGGCTGTACAACAGAAGAGACAAAAACAATACATAATATATACTTTATACATAATATAATACTTTTATACACAGTATTTCTTTGCACAGGTCTCCCTCTTCTTTAAAATACCCAAATTCAGCAGGTGCCATTTCCCTCAAACTGCAGCCGTGAGTCCATAAGCCTCCTCCACCACAACCAACCAGCCCCAGTCACGCACACCCCCACCAACGAAAGGATGCACTCACCCACACCTGAGAGCTGAGCTGCTGCTGCTGCAGCGGGAGCGTGAGGCATCTCCCTCCATACGCAGCCACTGCCCCGATTTCCACAGCAACACCACCCCGAGGAGGCAGCCGGGATGGGCAGGTGGGCAAAAATGCCAGTGCCTTGTGATCCAAGACCACAGGGTGCTAGGCAGTGCTCCTGGGGAGTCCAGAGTTTACAGATCCCGCCTGGTAAATCTCTCAGGTCTGAGTAGTACTTCCAGCACGGCACCAGTAAAACATCGCGACACTGGTTATCGCGTATAACATCAGAGGAATGTACGTCTTATCCCGAAACTGAAATGAAAGTGGTACCTGGATCTGGGTCTGGCTTTAAGTGCATTAGGTTCCTGAGGAGCTGAAAGAGAAAAGAAAATATCACCTGCTAAAACAAATCATGCCAAATAAGAGCTGTGGGATCGGTGTTTATTAAAACTGGGAGTGTGGCAAATGTGGATGTGAGAGCTTGCTCACCCCACATGAGCAATGAGGATTTGTTTTCACTTCTCCTTCCCCTTTCTTTCTGTAGTGTGTAAATGCCCTAAGAATTCAAAAGCTCAAACATAGTCAAAACCTCACCGTCTACTTTGGTTAACACAAAGCAGGGAAAGCAATAAGTCTGATGCTGTTGTGACAAAGAAGTGCTGGCAAGCAACACAGAAATAGCATAAGCTGTCCGTAGAAAACACCTTTCTCCTGGTCCAGACATCTATTTGTTGTCCTGCATCCTGAAGCACAAAGGTTTATACTAATTAGTTGAAGAATTTAGGAAGGACGTAAAAGTCCATGTTTGTGCCACCCATAAAATTTTTTAACACATCAGGTTGAGGTTACTTTGACATTGGGGAGGAATGATATTTTAAAGAGGAAAGTTTTACAGGCTCAGTGTTGGTAAAATAAATAAATACATAAATAAATAATTATCAATGTAAATATCTATTTTACTTGGGTTAATCCTGAATATCCTGCCACCCCCACCAGGTTTTACGTGATAGAAAAACAACAGCACTGAATCACCTTCTGTGGGTTATTCCTCGAAGCTGTTCCTTGCTTTACACTGTTCATAGAACCATAGAACACCCTGAGTTGGAAGGGACCCACAAGGATCATCGAGTCCAATTCCTGGGTCCCCAAAGGACCACCAAAAAAATCAGACCCTGTGTCTGACAGCATTGTCCAAATGCCTCTTGAACTCCAGCAGGCTCAGTGCTGTGACCACTGCCCTGGGCAGCCTGTCCCACTGCCCCAACACCCTCTGGGTGCAGACCCTTTCCCTAACCCCCAGCCTGACCCTCCCCTGTCCCAGCTCCATGCCGTGCCCTCGGGTCCTGTCGCTGTCCCCAGAGAACTGTTACTCTCCTTGCTGACATCAAATAATCTTGACAAAATATATCTCTGTGCTTGCTTCCAAATTCAGCCCACTGAGATACCCTCGAGGTACTGCAGCAGCGTAAGTGATCCCAACGCACAAAGTCGCTGTACAGCACTCCCTGAGAATACAGCAGACTCCCCCAAACAGAGCAGGAGCTACCTGTGGTAGCAGCTGGCAAACACTGACCTTTCAATGGCTGGCACTGTGTCACTGCACAGACCCTACACAAGAGGCTTGAGGCATACAGAAGGCAAGAAATAGCATATGACACGTGCAGAGCCACACACTATTTCTTCATAAAGGAAATATGCTTTCAGGGTCATGCAGTGCCACACTGATACAAAAAAAAACAAAAACAAAAACAAAACAAAAAACCCACAACACATTCATAAATCAAGTTCTAGTAGATTATTGTCACCAGCAAACTGGCCCACAGTCATTCCAGCCTTCAGTGGAACAAACTCTTAGTAAAGAAGAGAGAGGGAATTACTTTTAAAATATGCAGTGGTGATAATCCCCCTCTCTGCGTCAGACTCCCAGAGAGCACAACTTTAGAAACTGCTTCCCTACAGCCAAGCCATATGACCCAATTTTTCCGATGTTGAATTGCTGATTATTAAATTACATGCACAATTATTAAATAAATGTCATTTAGAAACAGGAAGTATAAATTCTCTCCAAGCTAAGCCATGCTTAAGAACCATCAAGTTTTTCTTCTTTTAGGGAGAGAGTAATTCTGTTCATACTTCTTTTAGAAAACCTTTCTTCTAAAAAGCTACAGGTAAAATTGAACTCTTTGAACTGAATGAGAACTCTCTGAGGACATCTTGTTGAGGTAAACAGGAAAACACAAAAGGAAGAGAGAGACCTGATATGACTACTAATAAAAAATTATGGCAATATAATATTACTGCCAAGGATTTTCTTATAAGCTTTTGAAAATCAGGAAATTTGAGGCTACAGTTACACAATACCCAGACCTAGCCTTAGTGTGAACCTTTCATAAAATGAAATATAATGCTATTATAAAACAGGTAGTTCATTATTAGGGCATGCAAACAAGAATTGTGGCAGCATTTCTGTATAGTGTGCAGACATTTCGGTGCACTCTGTCCACGGTTCATGTGCGAGCTGCAGTTTTACGCATACGCACAACATAAGCATTCAAGATGATACAAAAATATTTAGCCAGTTCACAAGTTTTCCCTATTTCTATGGCTATGAATAGAGATGCTTATGTTACATAAGACTAATAAAAAAATAAAGCTGTTGAGTAAATTGAGTACAGTTAGTATTTAGAAGTTTGTATTATTCCTGGCAAAGTCTGATGAATTGAACAGCCCCGTCTGGACCAATTAAAATCACACATGATGATGAACTTATTTATTCTCACACGCCAGAGGAGAGTGTGAAGGTTGCCAGTTTAGGCGTTTAACTGCTCCCAGCCCCTCTCCCAGTACATGCTCACTGTAACATTCCCAAGGATGCTGACTCCGTGACTTCTGGCTGGAGCCTAGTGGACTATAGAATCATAGAATCATAGAATATCCTGAGTTGGAAGGGACCCTTAAGGATCATCAAGTCCAACTCTTGACACCGCACAGGTCTACCCAAAAGTTCAGACCATGTGACTAAGTGCACAGTCCAATCTCTTCTTAAATTCAGACAGGCTCGGTGCAGTGACCACTTCCCTGGGGAGCCTGTTCCAGTGTGCATAACTGGTGCCTCCCTGCTTTACAGGATGGAAACTTGAGTGGAAAATTGTGCTTTAAAAGGTGCAAGTATGCTACACTGATAAGGAAAAGAAAAGAAAAAAAAAAGAATTCCCCAGTTTAAATCACACGTAGTGACTCACTTTTTATCTCTTATTAGTGGCCTATGCAGAAATACAAAATTTAAATGTTCACAAATTTGGCTCTTAATTCCTTAAAAGTCTAAGGTCAACAATGATCTTACACTTAGGAGCCTAAATAAAATAGATTTGCAGAGATGTTGAGCATGTGAAGGTTTTACTGACTTCAAATTTCTAGTCTGATGGCAAAGAAAACTTTTCCTTAATGAACCGCGGCAGTATCATCTTTCCTGAATTTACATAAATAGCCTAAACGAAGGATGTAAATTTTCTCTTGCTTCATCCCAACTGAATCTGCATCCTGAAGTGTAATAATTATGATGACATTTCGGAATGATGACTGATTCTGAAATAAGCACTCAATTGTGCTTTATCTAGCACACTGGATAGATAAATATTTTGACTTCTAACATCAGTCTTACTGTGCAACCTCAGAATGTGCTTGATCAGATCCTTCATGTGCAGGACCACACAGGTGAAACTCCCAAAGCAACAGGAGTCAGGGCAATGGGGTGGAAATCTGCCACTGCTTCCCTTGGTATGCAAACACAGCAGCATTGATGAAAGAATACAGTTGGCACACAGAACAGCTCCCTTACAAGGAAATAAAGGACACAGGGCAAAAAAAAACAATAGTGGCAAAGGTGATGTGCAGGTGACAATATATTTTTTTTTTTCCCTAAGCACACCAAAGATGGAAATGCTGAAGTGAAAATAAAACTGCTTGGGGTGCTCCTGGGCAAAAGGTGGTGGGCAGAGATGCGGGAGAACAGAACTGAAAGTGTCACTGGCCCCCCTTTCCCCTTTAGAGGGGGTGCTCTGTGTGTGGCTTGCTGGCTGTAGGAGAAGCAGCAATTGTTCAAGAATAGGAGCTGAAGATAGGACATCTGGTAGCTGCCAAGTGTTTGGGAAGAAGCCAGGAAAAAAAAAAAAAAAAGGTTGGGAAATGAGGCATGCAGCTGTTGAGCAGCCATGAATAAATCGAGCTATAAGGCAAAACTGCTGTGACAGACATTTGGGGTCAGTTTTCTTAATCAAGGATATCTTCACGAGTAAAAACATTTATGCAAAAGGAAAGGAAAGCAGGTCCAAAGTTTAGCTTCCCTGGGACCTTGCCAATGCTCTTACCACTTTAGGGAAGAGGTTAACAGAGAGGAGGAACAAGGAGACCTGATGAACTGAACTGAATGCATGGAGAGTTTCTGGAACAGCCAAGTAATTTTCACATACGACATTCCAGAAATACATTTTTCCAGTATGACAAGAACACGGATGGTATGTTGGAGTTGAAGAAAGAAAAAACATTGGTGGTTTCACAAGAGAAACACCCTTGAATCAAAAGGATGTGTCAATGCTTTATGTGCCACAAGATCTGTTTCCAAAACTCCTATAGGAAAACGCAGAAGCTCATTTCTTTTCAAAAGTAACAAGCCACTTCAGAACAGTCACCAAAACATGACATTCTTGTTTAATACTGGAGAAGACCTTTTTATCAAGAATATGCTATTGCATTTCATTTGTAGTATAGAAAAGCAAAAACCACAGTCCTTTCAAAATGCTACGTCATAAATATTTCCCAGATGTGAAGAACACTCATACAGTAAGAACAAGAGAAAGAAAGCAAGAGAACCTTTTGGCATCCTGAAGTACTAAGATTACTTGTGCAAACTGTAGTCATTATGAGGTAAAAGCTAATTTCAGTAGTATAATATTACAAGAGAAAAAGGATCTCAAAAAATTATATCAAAATACATTAATTTAGGTTCACTGTGATACAGAAACATTTGATTGAAACTCTAATGGTAGTAACAAGTGAATGGTTTTCTTCTTACCTGTTTTCACAGTCAAGTGCTGAAAATCCTTTGGTATTGTCTTGACAGCGGTGCTTACTTTAAGAGCTTATTAAAACAAACAAAACGAAAATTTCTTTAAATATGTGCAGGTAATATCTGTTGACATAGCTCTAAGAAAGCAAAATCTAACACAGTATCAGTTGGAATGTTTAATAAAGCCAAACGTACACGAAAAGAAACCAAAGGTAGCGAAATACCCTGAAAACACCAAACACCCAAAAGCAGTAACTACTCTTAGTAGCACAAAAGTCAAGAACAGAAAGGCCTATGCCCAAATAGCCAAATAATCCCTACTTTGAGAACTTGGGGTTTGAATGCACAAAAGGAGAGACCTGTGTTTCAGCAATGCAGCAGTCCTGCACAGACGGCAGCCAGCATCACCTGGCAGAGCTGGGATGCATCTCTCTGAACCTACAAACCTCGAAACCCAGGGCACAACAGAGACAACAGCTTTTGGTAGTTGAAGCCTCGCCACCTTGCTCCAGGGGATGTCAAATGGCACTGATAGAGCCAAGGCTAAAATTTAGGAGATCACAATGCTTTGCACTTACTCCCGTTCCATCCATGTCTACGCATGCTTTATTAATTACTTTCTTAAGACGTCCTTGTAGCATATTTTAATGCAGTGTAATACGCTGTATTATAAATGACCACTCGGAATGAAATCTCTCATCTCCATCTGCCTTCATCAAATAAAATATACGTGGGAAAAGTCTGGTTCTTGGATCCTGTTCTGTTTGCACTATCTCCCCCACTTAACAATATTAGCTCACAGAGTCGAGCTAATTTACTTGTATCGTTTTGAAAATGCAGGGAAATTTGCTTCTACAGTCCTGAACTACAGATTCTTGATGTCTGGGAACTTCTTCCCAGCCAGGACAGCAATCTGCTCTTCATTTGCCAGAATAGCAATAAGTAGTAGAATGAGAGCATTTGTTCTTTGGCTGAAAAGGCAGGAATCTCTGTCACAAATACAGCAGATCCTCAGCCGTGAAGGACTGCATGCACCAAAGCAGCTTCCCATCTGATTTAACGTGTCACCTATCTAGAACAAAGCACAAGTTCTTCGCCTAAACAGGGAAGAAAACAAATTCCTCAGGTAAAAAGTGAATCTTCCCTCAGCATTTGAAAGCAATAACCTTCATGGTTCAAGTCCTGCTCTCATACTTCATGATTTACAACAAAACACACCTTATCAACAAAACACAATTTTTGTGGAATATGCTGACTTACCCAAACGTCTTACAAACTCTGACAACCTTTCTTTGACCCAGAGATACTGGGAATCTGCCAAACCTGGTCACACCTGTAACTGGAAGGAATGTGGACTACCTGGTCTCACAACTCCTTACTGTGGGGACAAATGGAAGGTCAAGATCTACCCTAACCCCCTTTTTTAATTATTATTATTATCTTATGAATGTATAATTCAGTTCTGAGAATCAGACAAGAAAATACCCACAACTGTTTTAGTCCCACGGCTGAGGGAGAGGGACAACAAGTGAGAACTTGAAAGGTCAATGAAAAGAGAATATAAAAGGCAATGACCATGCTATGATCCAGTGCTAATTCTGGAAGCCCTAGTAGCTGCTGAGTGCAAAAACGAAAAGATCACTTCAATTTCACGTGGCTTGCTGTTCCCATATTTCAAGTGGCATGAATGAATCAAGTATTTTCAGTCCTGTTTGTCTAAAACCTTTGTTTTGCAAGAAAATATGGGGTCGGTGGTGGTTCCTTTTTTTTTTTTTTAATGGAATAAAAACTAATTCTGAAATGCTGCTATTTGATGAAAAAAGGGAAATCCAAAATTTGGCACAATCTAGCTTTTATTCTTACAAAACTCCTGATAATGACAATTAAAACTCTGTTGAAATATGAAGTAAAAATATTATTTGCTTTCGGACTAAGCCTATTTTAGAATGTGTACTTAATATCATCCACATGTGATAAAACTAATTTTGAAGCAAACCCATCCATATATTTTTCTTCAGCTGAGCTGCTGTCAATAGTTGTCTCTTTAAACCTACAGCAATATACAGCTAGCTTAGAAATTAAACATACCATTTCTTCTATCAGCTGAAATATCGAATTACTAATTATCACCCAAAATTTAAGCTAAAAAGAAAAAAAAAAAGGAAAAAAAAATGTTTTATTTGAATACCTTGTTTGTCATCTTTCTTTGTATCTTGTAACAGGGCAGAGTTATCAGGCACCTCTTCAGCTGCTGTCTTCTAAAGACAGAAGATTGGTTATTACAGTGATTGACATAGCAGACCCAGGCATTTCCATAGTCAAATAGCTAAGAACACAGACCAACACAAATAAAGGTGATATTCTCTCTTGTACCAAGACTTGCTTTATATGATAAAGAAGCACAGAAGAGCTTTAAAAAGACAGCTATACCTCTCTGCTTTTAAAGGTACACCAGTTTCACTCCTGAAATTAGTTAAAGAAGCAATTCAACAACGAATCACAAAGAGCTAAGGACTACATGCAAAGAGAGACTTCCCAAAACAGAGCAACGACATTCTGTGTTTTCTTTTTTTCTCTGGGTCTAACACCTGTACTAGGTTGAAGAAGCCTTTCCAGCCTCTTCACGCAAGTTAGTGTCCATGAGAAAACTCTCTTCAGCGAAACCTCAAGCTGTACTGCACTGTCAGTAGTTCTGCATCTAAAGTCTGCAGGCTGAGGTAGCTGACCTGGACTACTCTCTTCTTTCTGCATGCATTCACAGAAATGGGGAAAAAAATTTCATCAGCATGTCAGCATTCATTACTAGTCCCATTCAGGTCTCCGATGGGAAAATGGGGAACTTCACACCAGCCTTATTCCTAACTGTTCTTTATTACAGCAGCAACTTACACTATAAGCATTTGTGGTTCTTGTAACCTCTGCTGCATAGCTTACCAAGAAGGAAAGAGGAACAAATTCTACTACCATTATCTATAAGAACAATTCTGTGGCCAAAACAACAATAAATCAAACAGCAGAAACCTCAAGCTTCTCTAAATGTTAAGCAATGCTGTTTGTTGGTTTTTTTTGTTTGTTTGTTTTGTGTTTTTTTTAAGACCCTCTGGAAAAAAAGAATTCAGAAACATAGAACTTGCAGACATTTTCAAAAAACCTCAGGTCAGGGCCAAGTCCAGAGTAAAGGGCAATGAAATTTGTTTTATAAAGTTGCCCGTGGGATTCCCTAATGCTTTTGAGGAAGGAACATATCCAAACCATAGCTTTTGGATCATGAAAATGTTTGAGCAAAACACTTAACATCCCTAGTTAGCCATGACACTATATATTACAATCAAGGCTACAAGGAAGGAAAACAAAAAGGTCACCAATTGGTTTAGCTACAGAGCTTGCCACATCTGAAAGAACCAAGGATTCTGGACCAGGTGGCCCTTTACAGACTACTTCAAGCTGATCAAACAAAAAAAAAGAAAAAAATTTGGGAGGAAGAGGCACAGAAGCAATCCAGATTTGAATGTCTCAGAATTGCCGGATCCTATTATGATTCACACTCATCTTTTGACGTTAAGGATTTATGTTTCAAGCGCACAATAAATAGCAACTCTTGGTGCTGCTATAGCACGGGAGTGGATGAGACGTGACGCTATTTTCTGTCTTGGTTTCATCAGTTGTTAAGAAAAGAGTGTCAAGACTAAAGACCTAATTCACTGCATGCCTGAATCGATGGAATGACTCACAAATTTAAATGAACTGTGAGTATGTCATTACTGAGAGAGTTTAGAGCAACCCCAGACAGTCATTTTATGCATATAGTGAGAAATCTTGTGTCTTATCTTTAAGCGTTTGGCAGTGAGAAGGCTTGTGGAAAGGAGCCAAAAAAAAAAAAAGAGACCAGAATCAGAGTGGGAGACAAAAACTTGAGAAAAAAAAACGAAAAGACAAAACTCTAGTTAACAAAAAGCAGTCACTCTTGTCATTCTTGAGCATACCATTACCAGAATTTGTGTGCTTTTTAAGTTTAACAAAGCCTACTATTTGGTGACTCGTCTCCTGCCATTAATTTCTTTATAGACATTCAGGAATTGTCTCCACTGTACTGTAGTACTGTAGTTCAGCAGTCACAGTAAAAATGGTCTTCTGAAATTAAATTAAACAGTCTGAATTGATGAGACATGGAAAGACACAAAGGCACAGAGATAATGCATAACCGATTGCATCGATAATACAGTATTTCTAATGGAGTGATCAGGTATCTAAACTGCATTTCCTCAAATAGCCAAGCTACAAATTAAATTGCAACAGTGAATTACTGCGCTTCCCACAGAGTGAGATGAATGGGAGGTGAATCGCTGACCTTCCAAGTGAAACTCTTTCAGGGCATTTATTCTGATTATAGAAACATCAGCTGAACAACAGCAACAGAAATTAAATCAAAATCATTCTCAACTCAGGTTTCAGATGAGATTTTGTGCTCCACTAATTTTGGATAACAAAGGACCAAAATAGCAAGGCCCTGCAACAAACTGAGAGCTTTGCTCAACACCTCTAGGTCCCAGACAGTAAAGAAACAGAGCAAAGACAGGCAAATAATCATGATTTACTCAGGTAACACTATCTATTCTCAGCCAACAGGCAATCACGTTACAGTTTCTTCTTTATTTTCAAGCTACCCATAAAAAAATTGATTTTGCAGAACAGAAATGGAGTAGCAGAACACCCAGCTGTTCCCCCCAAGAACATTATCTGACTGTAAATGCAGCACAGTAATCTGCAAGTTATTGGCATTTATGGACAGAACGCCTTCAGAAGGAGACAGCAGAGATATGGCACAGGAGGTTTGAAAGCCTTAAATTTTGGAAATCAAATGAAAAATTAAATGCAAAATGGAGGATTTGTTACTCTTTTTTTTGTTATTTTATTTTTAATATTTTGTGCTGTATAGACTCTGAAGCTATTTAATTCTTACTATGATGTGCCTGCTATTATTACCTCCACTGCAGCAGAAAAATCTAAAAAGCAAAAAAAAGACACAATTTAACTGCTTAGATGATCTCCTTTTAGATTTATCCTTACTTTGCGCTTATATTCAAGGACCACAAACAAACAGAGCCTAAAAAACGGACATTTAATAAGATTATGGAATTGTACTGGTTAGGTTACTGAAATGACATCTTATAACTAAGAAACAGAAGATGACTCTGAAAGCAGGACTTCTGAACTTTCTGAAATACACACATGAACGCTGTAATCTCACAGTCCCAAGGGTTGCGCTACTGAAGAACAAACTTCCTCACAACTCTGCACTAACAAAAGATTACTTTGCGTACCTGGGTGATCATTTATGAAGCCAGCATCCTAACTGGAATGAGGATGCCCTAGGCCACAGAATACCAGGATAACAGCACTGCTTACAAAACCCAATACAACTGCTGTGCTTTGGTCGAGCAGCTGGATAAAAGCAATACCCAGCAAGTGCACTGGGGAGACCCAGGCGTATTTTAACAGTTTCAGAAGACAGGGTGGATATTAAAAGCACTGACTGCAATATTACCAAGCATACATAACAGTCAGATGCGTTAGAAGTGCAGTTCAGGAGAGCCTGCCTGGAGGTGCTATCAGCCGAGTTGAATTTGTTGACAGAGGATCTGGGTTCTGACCCGGTGACACCCCAGAACCAGACACGGGGATGAAATAACTGGAGAAATGCCTTGCTGAGCTGGCATGACATGCCACAACTTTTTAACTTGGCAGCAGCATCAGAAGGACCTTCTATTCAATCGCAACAGCAATCCACAGCAATTTTCAGAGCCTTCACAATTCTGAGCTGAAAGCCTGTTCTTGCAGTCAGCCTGCCACTTGATTCACTGCCTTAAATGCTAAACCCTTAAATCCCTCGGCGCGTATATTCACAGCTGCAATATCCAAGCACAACTCAGTGGCCATGGTTAGCTCAACATATAGAATCTTTAAAGCCTCATTTTTTTTTAACCTCAAGAATAAACTCTTCTTGTTAACTTAGTTTTGCTTGCAGTAGTCTTTTATTACAAGGCTGACATCCATTGTGATGTTGTTTACAATGGATCCCTAAGAATCCTTCCCCCTTCCTACCCCTCAGAACACTCTTTCCAGTTCCTTACAGTTACTATCTAGACCCTTAGATGCTTGTTCCTTAGACTATTGGAAGGCTGGACATTAAAACTGGAACTGAACCACCTAGACCTGAGCTATGCATGTCCACATTGCATAAAACTGGGGAGAGTTTCGGTCCCCATAGAAGCAAGGTGGAAAGAAACAGGATAAGCCAAGACAGTTTTCATCTGCATGCACGTGCATTCATCTGCTTTACAGAGCATCTGCATGCTCTGTAAATGGAGCTCTGGAAATCGAAGAAAGACTCAAAAGCTAGGTGGTCAGGAAACCCAGGACAAGGTCTGCACCTGAAATGTAATATTTCTTACCCACTCAGACTCATGAGAAATCTCCCCTAAGCACTGCCCTTGTGCCAGAACAGTCCCCCTCCATCATGGGCTCTGCTCCACACTGCTGGATCCCTGCACAGGAGGGCCAAATGCTGCCCAGCAGGACACCAATGGTGAGGCTTTATTTTCCCACACAGACTCCAGCATCAAGACAGGCTGGAGTCCATAGATGCCTACTGCAAGCTGGATTCTGTGGGTATCTCTTTCGAAAAAAATCTGCCTCCCCTTTCCATACACACAGGGAATGGCTGAGAGGAGTGTAAGATGGCTTAACGCTAAACTTGGACACTCTGTAAGTCCTCTTGAAGACTCACAGCTCTTGTTATGCATACCACAGCAACCGTGAGGCTGTCCTATTGCTCTGTGCTCTGCAGGTAGCTGCCCTGCTCACACCTCCTCACCTCTGTCCGGCTGAAGTCCCGAGTCTGTTGGCTGCCCGGCAATGACTCAGAGTAAGAATCAAACAGTGCGCAGTCGCGTAGAGGCTTCAACGAAGCTAGAGGAGAAAGGAAAACCCAAAAAAAAAAGAAGGAAAAAAAATCAACCAGAGCCACGACAAGTATTTGGTTAATACCCCCTTAAAAACCTGTTCTGACATCATTTTGCCCTTCATTTCTACACATCAGAACTGATATACTAACAACAGATGACAAAAGTATGAAGAAAATCTTTCCATCCTGAATCTTGAAAAACACAATGTCCTGAAAGTGTTAACAAATATGATTTCTGTTGCAGAAGGTATCGACTTAGTTGGCCTTATAGTTTATATCCTGCTGTCTTAGTAAGGTTAAAGGTATTTACCAAATGTTCAACTCTAATTTTTGGTATTTTAAATACTGAAAAGTATAACAGAATCTACACTACACACTAAAATTGAAGGCCAGTAAAAAACAAGCACACACTACTATGTACAAATGTACTAATGACAGTCATTGCTGCAGTACATATCATCTTCAGTATTCCTTAGCTAAACAGCACTGAGAGCAGGAAAAAAAATTATCCCAGCAACTTTTCATGGTGATATTCATAAGAACCACACTTCTAAGCTGTAGGCTCAACTCCTTCCACTGGTACCACCACAAGACTAATTTTTACATGAATCTGTTTAAAAAGCTGGAAAACTTTTTTTTTCTGTAAGATCAATGTATTGAAAGACAGAATAACCAGTTCTCAGGTCAAATTCCTAGTCTCTGGGTAGCATCTAGTTCAGCTGAACAAATTAAGCTCTTGCAAATCTGTCTTAATTTAAAATACAGTGGGTTACATACAGGGCAAATAGTTTTATGGATTTTCTTTAATTTGTTTTAATAAAAACTTTCAGAAAAGAAGGTGGTGGGTCAAATTGTCAGTGGAGCTGTGCCAGGACAGAATTTGGCCTTGCACTTGTAGTTTATAGAACAAGCCGTAAAACTAGCAAGATTAATTTGTTCTAAAAGTCTTATGCTCCAAGCCACTTTATTTGAAGCTTTAACAGTCTTATCAGATGTGAACATTTTGCTCCAATCAAACCAGGAATGAAACAGCCTGTTTTATTCTGAACTTAATACAACCTAATTAAAAACAGTTTCCAGAAATCTTTATCATATTCCTAACCAGCCAAGTAAAATCTAAGTTTCAGAGAAATGAATACTATGAAAACACGTAAGTATATAATGATTTGCTTATTTATCAATGCTTTTATTTCAGAAGTTGATACAAACAGGTCTATATTCTTTCTTGTGATTTACTGTGCTTCAATGTGTTGAGATGTTGCACTTCTTATTATACAAGTCTTCAGATTTCTGAATAGGCAGCAAAACACCATAAGACATTTTCTGACCCTCAAACTAACAGCATTAGCTTATTACCCATGGTATTTAGAGTGCCTGGAACAAATAGTCCTTCCACGCTTTCACATAAATCGGTCTGAAATGCTTGGTTGTGTCCAACACAATAATCACAATAATCATCTACGGAATTGATAACAGCTCAATGCTAAAAGGCACAAACTCTGGAAAAGGAAAGGAAAGGCTGAGAGACCTGGGTCTGTTCAGCCTTGAGAAGATTGAGAGGGGATCTTATCGATGTTTACAAATACCTTAAGTGTGGGAGACAGGGGGATTTGGCCAACGTCTTTTCAGTGGTTTGTGGGGACAGGACAAGGGGCAATGGCCACAAGATGGAGCCCAGGAAGTTCCGCACCAACATGTGAAAGAACTTCTTCACGGTGAGGGTGACAGAGCACTGGGACAGGCTGCCCAGGGAGGTTGTGGAGTCTTCTTCTCTGGAGATATTCAAGGCCCATCTGGACACCTACCTGGGCAGCCTGCTCTAGGGAACCTGCTTTGGCAGGGGAGTTGGACCCAATGATCTGTTGAGGTCCCTTCCAATCCCTACAGTTCTGTGATTCTGTGAAAAGAGGACTCCCAGAGAACAACCACAGCTTACCACCTTCCTTCCCCTGATGTAGTGATTTGATACCACTGTAGATAGTTATTTCCATTGCAGAGTTACCCAAAAACGCTTAATGTGAAGACATGCCAACAAGAAGCATGAAGAAGCTTACAAGCTATTTTATGATGAGATCAGGAGTGAGGCTAGCGAGCAAAGTGGTGGTCCTGGAGGGAGAAGGGTAGCTGTAATTACGACAAGAGAATGTCATAATTAGAGAGACTAAAAGTGATGAAGACCTGAAGGTGCAGGTTTTACAGAAGCTTCTCCCCTTGGATATGAAGGAACATGGACTCCATCAGAAATTATTTCACAAATCTGATACAGGGTGAACATTTAATTTTCATAACTGCAGCTTGATTTGCTCTTTTCCTGCCTTTTAATACATTCAGTGTCATCAAATTTAATGGAGATTTTATTAGGTCTTAAATATTATCCCTTAGCACTATAATTATCATCTGTGATTAATCCTCCTTGCCCTAGAAAGCCATGCACATTTTTCAGATGGAACAGTATATATTTCAACGTTCATTTATAATTACAAGAGACATAACTGAAGAGAAGAAACAAAAGGGCATGTCTCTCGCTGCACTCTGTTACTGAGGTATGTTGTATTTTGGATTAATTTATCCTTGCTCTAGACAAACCGCTGTAATCCCTCTGTCACTAGTGCAAATTATTTATAGCAGAAGATATATATATATATGTATATATATAAAATGTGAAAATATATTTATATACATATAAAACGTACAAAATTCACCCTTTGGTACAACCAGTGACTGCATCCAACACACATATTAGCACAGTAAGTTCCAAAGCAGTCCAGCACCATTTTCAGCATGTCTTCAAAAGACAGATACGTAAGGGAAAATCACCAGGAGTTAAAAGCCATACACCTCTTGCTACAGGTAATCAGCTGCCACTTTAGCTGTAATGGCACCTGAAGCACACGGGAGCAGAGCGACAGGCATTAAGAGGCAGACAACTGGTACATTTCGCATCTCTGTTTTGTGCTTTCAGGAATTCCCTCTTCAGCAATCGCCTCATAAACAGAATTAAAACCTCGTGCTTTAAAAAGCAACTGGGGAGCCATTAAGCAACAAACTCAGCTCTACCTGTGATATGAAAAACGAAGCCTGCTTTAGAGGCACGTCGAGTGTCTGAGGTGGCCACAGGACCACTGCCTGCCACAGGGACATTACCTGCTTGGAGGTAATCCGGCAGCAGCGTGTCGGGCAGCGTCTCGGGCAGCTGGTAACCATTCTTCCTCGCAACCACCAGGTGGAAAGCAGCACAGAACTCGGGGAGCGTCAGCGCCCCGTCACAGTCCACATCGCTGAGCTCCCTGCAGGGACGAGAGCCGCACGTTTCCCCAGCCGCTGCCTCAGGGAAGCGTGCTCGTGCAGTCACAGGAGACACAGAGATGGAGCTTTTTGAGGACGGCTATTTTGATAAAGGACAAGCACCTCTATTATTTCTACTTGATCACAGCTACTACAACTCCCACCCACACGGGAGTGTCTATTTCGGAGTCTTGAGGAAAATGGAGCTAATTTTCTAATACTGATTTGCAGCTTTTCTTTTTTAAGGCGGTGTATTTTTGTTATACATCTTACCATACAATATAATGCTATGTTTATGTTATGACATGAAATACATACCCTGTGGTTCTAAGGACAAAATTAACTTTCCAGTGGTTGAAAGCAGTTTTAGCTAATCCATGCAGGATCTTTAGCCAATTCGAGCAGACAAAGTTAAAAGTGGACTTCGGCAAATGTTTAATTAGCAACATTGACTAGCCTCAAGAATAGAGGTAAATTAATGTTCTTGACATGTTCAAATGTTAGTGTTGAGTGTTTGTTAATTAAATCTGTTGTCTCTTTAATTCCTGCATTCTTCTCAAACAATTAAATTCAGATACTCATACTGAATAATTCGATTTTATAAAATCAACTCCTCTGCCAGAAATAACTATTACATTACTATTATATTAGCACAGTGACTAAAGTACATAAATACATAACTTCCTACTCTTTGAAAGTAATGAGTATTTTTCAAGCTGTTGAGGTTATAGTGGCAAAGTCTGAAACATCCCATGTGTTTAATGCAGTGACATGACCTGGTAAATTATATCATTACAAAATTATAATCATCTACTAGAAAATAATGCTTTTCTTTGATTATTTTTTTTTTGCAGAGAACTGCTTATGTCAGCAACACAAATAGAGTGTTTTGTTACATATTGGGTTAATCCATTCTTCGTATATAATCTTTCATTTAAATTCTAATATTCACTTCCCCCAGTATAATGCTTCTTCAGTTGTGTTTTTTTTTTCATTATTTCATGACTGACAATCCGCTTTGAAAAGATTCCAGACATATTCTTTGACCCCAACAGATGTTTAGGCTCTTGGAAGCTTTTCCTCACATCCATCCTCATAAAAGCATATATAAAAGTAAAAACTCTATCAGCGTTTTTAATCAACATTTTAAACTGTTTGCTTTTCCTATCTATATGGAAGGATGATGCTGAATTACAAAGTGCCATGTTGTTTATGAAAATGTAGTAGAATTCTTGTCAAATTTTATCATGTACAGTTCCATCTGCAATCATTTCTAAATAAGTTCATTAAAAGTAAGTGTACTGGTTCATTAGAAAAGCACTGATGAATTATGCAGTTGCACTTACTAAAAATTAGGTATTAATTAGGCTTCATCTGACAAAACACAGCCAGAAACATAAAGCCAACAACACAGCTAAAACACTCCAAATGTGCTTTTCCTCCACATCGTTTCATGAAAAATGTCAGTTTGTTGAGCTAATGATGTTGCTTACAACACTCTTAAGAACAGCTCTCGGTTACGTAGCTGTTCAAACCTTCCCCGTCCTGCTGAGTAGGCGAACATCTCTACAGAAAACAAGTGTGTCGGGAAGATCAATGAGCACCCTGCTGCTTGGGCCTGAAAGTGATTCTGGAGATAAGAGCAATAATTACAACTGAAGACACTTTTTAAAATTTAACAAGAACTCTTGAATTAGGTATCTTCTGAAAAACAGGATACACATCCCAAACGCTATTACAGTACTTACCAGATGTGAGAAAGCTCTGGGATGGGCAGCTTTGATTTCGTGAAGAAATTCTTTGCCACGGAACCTGTTGGGAAACTGTGCCTTATCAACTGTTTGAAATTAAATCTCCAATTATTTACATTTGGCCAGGGCTGCTTCACCAGAAGCAGCTGGGTACTTTATGTTCAACAGACACTCAGATTAACTGAGACCTAATAGAGCTGTTGGACCATTTGTCTCTTGGTGAGTAAGTGACTAAGTCAGACAGAGCTGTTGACCTCATTTCCCCATTCCCTCCAAATGGGAAAAATAAATAGAGGACAGCAGCCCTCAGTACAAGTGATTCTAACCAGCACATTACCATGACACCAGTAATGAAATATCAGACACCGATGTCTCTGCTTCACCCAGAAGCCATGTGTGTGGCAGAGTCATGCTTCTCCTAGCTAGCAAATCCACTATTTCACCATCCCATGCACACAGGCTACTGAGGCAGCACAAGTTCCCTGTGTCCTGGAAGCCCTGCCAGTACATAGGCTTATAAAATATATGGTAATATTTTACATAATGTAAGGTAACACAGACTTCTTGGTCAACACCCCTCTCTCCTTTGTGCATTCAGGTCGGATCGCCCACTGCAGCACATGAGGAAGGCTGTAACAAGGACGGGTACAAAATTCATCTACTGCAGCTTGTCCTCTCCTACACCAGATGCCAAGGGAGGAGTACAAGACCATGACAAAGCCACATAACAATACAGCTCCAGAATATCCCCTCAGCCTCTGACCAGCAGTAGGCTTGAAATATTCAGTAACTTCTGATGGATTTTCCTATCATGGATTTCTTAAATAACTTCCTAAGCCTGGACAAACTCCTAGCGCTTGTATCACCCTGCAGCAAGGATTTATACAGTTTAATTATTTTAGGATGTTGTGTGAAGCTCCAATTTATCATTCATAAAAAGTAATTCTGGATGTGCAAGGACTGCCTGAGAGTCTCACACAATATAAAGGCAAATGCAAAGCTCCCTGAAAGGTTGTACGTGAATATACACACACAGTCACAGACCTATATAGGTGTGTAAAGAAATAGTGTTGTTGAACAATTATTTCCTCTCTCAAGCAAATTGTACAAAAGAGACTTAACTGAGGTAAAGAACTGCTAAAGCACTGATTTATGTCAACACTAGGTATTTCTTTAAACCTTTGGCTACATCTGAGCCTCCTGAATCCCAGATGCTGCTGAAGAGCAGCAATATGTAGGAGGACTTGGTAAAATTTAAACTCTGCAACTTCTTCCATTCCAGACTGTCAGTACCTGTGGGGATGCCTCTCCCAGGCAGCCTGATCCTCCCATTCACGATGAAAATGCAATCTCAGTACACTCTTACAACACTTTCACCATGTATACGCTCTCCAGCATTTGCTTTTAACCACCTGGAGGTCAAAATCTCAGTCCCCCAAAGCCATAAACACTCAGGTTTAACCACCCAGGAGAGTTAAACACGTGCTTAACTTTCATTACACGGATGCTGCCACTTTTCTGTTGGGAAAGTAAGCCTAAGACTAGGGCTTTTTCAGCTCAATACACACTGCAGGTTTGATCTACGAATACAGTCCCTTAGAATAAGAGTCCATTTTAATTTTTTACTGAACCCCAACACTTCTCCTTACAAGTAAGCATTTTCCCAAAACCAGGACCAGGTTAGTGTTGCCTCAAGTCTGAGCAGTGCTCGTCATCTCAGCAGTTTCAAATCATGCACTGGAAATAGATAACCACTTTGTTTTAGTGTGAAGTCACAATTTTTCATGTCATTTTCCCCTAAGCTCTGCAGTCAGCTTAACCAAGGGCAAAAACCTGATCCTCATTATTACTGCTGCCTTTTTTTTTTTTTTTTTTTTTTTTTAACTGCCAACAATTACACCTGTGTAAGAGGACAACAGGACTGCAGATGTGTAACAAAAAGCAGCATTGGGATTTCTGAGCATGATGCACAAGGGAGAGGAAAAAAACACCTTGGCCTGATTCTCAGATGGCAGAGTAAACCTGCAGGGACTGACATGAAAAGGAAAAAGATCTGCAATATTAAAGTGTATCTGCAAAATTGAAGTACGTGTGATGCATTTTCAAATGGTCAGCTTTTAAAACAGAACCACTTCTGAAAGAATTAATGCTAATATTTAGGAAAAAAAACATAATGCCCAAAGAATGGGTTTGTTCTTTCAGTTGCTTGCCTTTGAAAATAAAACACAATCAACTCATTCACAAATACACTCTGGGGAAAAGAAAATAATTAAGTTATCTACTTAATACTTCATGTCTCTCAGCCTGGCTCCTCTAGTTGACACAGACATTTCTGGTAAAACTTACCTGAAATAAAGGAGTTCAGGTCAGGCTGTAGGGACCTGAACTGGTTGACATAGTAGTCTCGCTGCTCCTCAGTTATCCTCCAAGGGTCATCTGAGTAATGGGCACTGCTGTCTGGCTGCTCCCGCTCCACTGAAAGAGACTGAGAGGAGGGTCACTGGCACCAGCCAGAAGGGCCAGACTGGGCTCTGGAAACCTCAGTGGACCAGATTCATGCTGTTCTGGTAGCAGACATTTTAGAAAGATGAGAAGCAGAAACGGACATGTGATTACTGTCTCTTTACTTTTAATACTGACCTAGCAATATATATACCTAAAATGGGACTAATAAAGGACCTACAGCTATATATATGCAGCACAGTCCATGACATATTTAGATCTGCTAGGAAACTACATATTTAGCCTTAGAGAGATGCTGTAACTATGGAGCTAGACTGCTTCTGGATCCATAGCTCACCCAGGTAACTCAGCACGCATTTTGCTTAAACAGACTTGCAAGTCCCAAGGGATCTCCTTGACTTTCTGTTGTTCCCCACGTTTTCAGTAAAAAAAAAAAAAAAAAAAAAAAAAAAAGCTGAAGTTTGGGAAAAAGAATATTCTAGAGGAGGACATTTTATCAATTTATTTATATGCTTTTCTGATTGACTCACTTAAGGTAGGTCGCCGTTTTTGTTAGGTTGGTGGTGGTGCCTATAAGAGGTCTGCCAATATAAGTAGTGTCTTTGTTAAACTGCAATAACTTGGTGTTTAAGATGCTTTAGGCCTGGACAACAGCACTCTTAAAGAGGGAGGGGGCAAGAATGAACAATAACTAGGCTCTAACCAACTCCAAAACCCTTTCTCTGACATCCATCTCTCAATTTCTTAAGAATCAAAGCAAAACACCAGTTCTGAAATACATCAAAAGATCCCTGAAACAGGCAACATCATAAAGTTGTAAATTAATTTTCATTTCAAAGCACTGAACGAATGCACTCAATTTCATTTCAAGTTAGCACAAATTACGTGACATTATCTGTAGAACCTTTCCTGAGCTTCAGGTGACATTTTAATATGGGTGTGGATTGCTGCATGTAACAGAAGAAGTACAGAGCCCCTGCCCTGAGCCATATTTATTTAGGAAAAACTCTCCCTTAGGAGAGCTCTGACCCCCCTTAGGGCAAACTACCTGTTTGCATAATAAATACACAGCAGGCACAGTGGAACATTAGAAAGATATGCTTTTCCAGCCAGCAGGAGAACACAGGACTCATATCATAAAAGCATACAAATGGCCAGAGATTTGTTTATTCTGTTTGAGATGCCATCTTATAAGCTGGGGTAAAAACAGTAATACAGAGAATATTAGAACATAAATTTTGTGTATGAGTTACAGATGACATTCTAAATCAAGCAGGAACCTCAGTGAAACCTCATATATTTCAAATGAAAATGTTTTACTTTTGCTAGAATAACCTCAACATTTTTTTTTTAAACTTTTGAACTAAAGATTCTCAGTCCAGTCTTCTTATCTGTGCTATTTGCTGCTTCTCATTTTACTTAGCTTCAGCAATGTAATTATACTATTCATTTTAATTTCTTCTTCCTATCATCCTTGCTTTTTTATTTTTCATATACTAAAAGGCACACTTCAGTTTCTTGTCTAAAAATACCATGGAGAATTCTTTTGCTTTTTTTGATTTTTTGTTTTGTTTTCCTTTATCTGTAATTTTAGAAGTAACATTGCTGAAGAAAAAAACACATGCAATTCATTACCCGACCAAGAGTTGAACATGCGTGTGCAGGTTTGGCTCCATAATTCCCTGATGACGATCCATCTTGCTGGTGAGTAGAGTGTCTGACTTCATAAGGAGCTATAGACATTTAAAATAAGTATATAAATGAGAAAATAATCCAAAAGGTTCTACTAGCCTAAAGCAAAAAGTTAAATACTGCAAGGTCAAGCAACAGTGACCCCACATTATCATAGTATCAAAGTAGATTTTGTCTTCAACAACAAAATTCCAGCCACACACTTGTCTTTCCTGTTACATCGTTCTTCCTCAGACATTACTGATAGGAATTGTCATTGCATATTACTAGATAACAGAAAGCATAGCTACTTCCACATTGCAAACAATCTATATAACCTGCTTATATCTTTATATATTTTACGTACTTACAGCCTTATATAGCAAAAGGCATTACAAGAAGCAAGAAATAGTAAACTGAGATGTAAAAACACATGCTTTGACAACACTATCTAACAGTGGAATCACAAATCTTCTATATATTAATCTTCCATATACTCCTCTCCTCCTCCTCCCTAATGTCTGTTGAAAATCAAAAAAATATGACTCACCACTTCACATTTTTTGGAGTAAAGTTAGTAAAGAAAATTACTCCTTTTGCTAAGTCGCTTGCATTCTACGGCAGTAAATATAGTAAGCAGTGACATAAGGGCACATTTAAGAACAATGTTTTAGAAACAGGTCAAGTATGCAAACACAAAGGCAACTCACTTGCAAAATTTTACAGAGTGAAAACTTCTGCTGCCAGCACATTTAAAATGTGCCACAACAAAGACAGTCTGTGTTAGACAGACAGCACTTAAAGGAATCTTGATGAGAAGACTTGGCATTTTTGAGCTCAGGAAGACCTTAAAAATTACATCCCGAAACCCCTTGCTTTCCTAAGTGGTCTTATCCTGGTCCCTATTTTTATTCCTGTACAAGTTCTAATTTCAGAAGAAAAAAAAAACACAGGAAGGAAGTTGGAAAATATACAGAAGCACTTCAAGAGGAGATCTAAGTGCAAGGTCATACCGCTATGTGTTTGCTAGCAAGAAAAACATAAAAACTAACAAGAAAAAAAGTAAACTCCACTGGTGTATAGCCATAGTTGCAGTGCAAAAGGCTGACCTTAGAGACACTTTGTCCCAGTTTCAGAATCATACTTTCAGTACAAACTAAGTCTAGCAAGATCAGTTCTGTGAAGTTATCACCTCAGACACATATGCAAGTGCTGTTGTTTTCAAGCCCAGCCTTTTGCATACTCATCAGGAAACTGGAAGGTTCTTAATCTTAAAGGCCAGAAGGAATCAGCAGGTCATCTAGCCTGGCACTTGGTACAGCACAGGTCATAACGTGTTATTCAGTTACTTCCACTGAGAAGACGTTTGGCTGAAGAATTTCTTCTGGAAAGGCATTAGGGGCTGAGCTGAAAAATTCTATGCCCTTATTTTAATTTCCAGTGATTCCTGGGAAGTAAGAATAGTGTTGTACACCTCCAAGATTTTATCACCTCAAGCAGCTGCATGATTAATTTCAGAAGAAGTTGATACCTGAGCTGGAGGCTGCTGTCTACGCACTACACGGCTGCCAATTCCACGAGAAACTTCACTGAAGTTACTACTGCATGCAAATTCAGAGACACCCTACCCCTACTCTCTCAAAAAAAAGCAAGTCACTGACAGAGCCTGAAAAAATCCCAGAAAAGAGTAGAGCACACCACAGGTAAACATGGGCAGCTGTTCCCAATGGCATCCTCACTCCTAGTGCACTGGTCTTCAGGGTACATGCTGTCTGCTGCAGGTCTTATTCACTAGAGCAGAACATGTGTCGTACAAGAAGACAATCTCACTAATATTGCTTTTTTCAGAAATCAGCCATCACTCAGCTGTGTTAAGAGTGGGATGGGAAAAAAACCCTCAAGCTCCTCAAGCCTTTGTAAGAACTGGCTTCTGTCCCACTACCCTCTGACTAAAACCAGAACATTTTGCCACCAACTCTAAAGGCAGTAAGATCAAGGACACAGCATCATTGTAGTGCCTTATTTTTATCTGTTTTGTCCGTGTTACACTGTGGGACTGTTTTTACATTCATGTCCTATTGTTATTTCCGTTATGAAAGTGGAGAGCTTATCATCCTTTCCTGCAAAGGAAGGTTCATTGTCAATTCAAATACTAGTAGAGCAGCTACTGAAATCAGGAGTGGGTTTTTCTTCCCCTCTAACTATACCAAAAGCACCATACGCTCTGAAAATACCCACAAACGCTCAATCATCGAGATACATTGCATGTAACCTTGTCAGAGACTGGGTATTAGCATTTATCTGTGAGCAGTGACACATAAATCTAACTAATTTACCAGAAAGCAAACAGGAAGACAGGAGTGAACAATCAAAGAAAAGCTTTTAGGCAAAATAAAATGACATGATTGGATCATTTTCCAAAACTCGGATATAATTAAATTTTAGAAACACTAGGCTGATTGCTAGTTTCATTTGAAATTTTGATGCTTCTATGAAAAAAAAAAAAGAATAATAATTGAATACAGTGTGCACATTCCAACTTTTTCCCTACCTCCATGCTGCTGCTCCAGCCCACTTCTTGATTTACTGTATCCATAAGTCACGGGTATTCTCTGGTAAGTAGACGGAGAAGCAGGAGGTGAACAGATTGGAGACATCGGTGGAGACTTGGGTTCCTGTTGCAAAAACACATCAACGCAGAAAGGAACTCAGAGATGACAACAAAACAGCCAAGTAATTCTGCACCACAATCCAAGCAAATGCAACATGATGGACAAAGAAGAGGAAAACACTGCGATTCCCTCAGGCTCTCTATATCCAAGAAAATTCTCATTAAAAAAAAACAAAAGAGGGTAAAGACAGAATTTGGTATTGAGCCTTCTAGGGATAAAGTGTGACAACGGCATAGCGAAGCTTTACAACAAACAGCTTAAGATATCCCACTTCCAAATATGCCTGAAGGAGTGAGTGCAGAAGGCTTAATGTGAGTGGGTATCTTTGGATTTACATAACACGTTTACTCAGTGTGAAGGCATTATTTCTGAGAGAGCATTCTTTGTACTAAAACACGTACCAAGAATTTAAAATAAACCTCTGAATTGATATTTTAAGCACCTGGTGGATTTGTAGGCGTTACTGGCTATCTATCCTAGAGCGCTCACTCTCTCTTGATTTTACAGAAAGTGTTTAAGGGGATGCAATCCTGAATCAATTTACTGTACGAAAGGAAAACACAACACAACAAAGACAACCCAGACGGAGCCAGAGGTCTGAGGGCGGTGCTCTGCTTCAGTGTCAATGCACACAGGCAGGAGACGTACACGCTCCTCTTCCTTATCCTGCTATACCAGCTGTGCGTCTTGCAGCAGCTCGTTGCTGCTGGTTAACCTCCAGCTGGGAATGCCATCACCCAGGCTGACACAGCGCTGTCACGCTGTGTCACACGTGTGTGTGAACAGTGCAAGGAGGTGACATGTCTGCCATGGGGCAACCATGGTAGGACCCCAAGCATTACCCTAAGAGAAGGCATTATGCCTTGGGAAAATTGTGCAAATACTGCTTGCTCTGCGAATTTGCATGTCTCTGAACGAGCACTCTCAACTCTCCCAAATGCAAGAAACACAAACCTCCCTTGGCCAGCCTTGTTACGCTAGCAGTTGAGAGCATGAGAAGCTGGAACGGTGTTTCACTGAGGACAAGATAAAGAGGTTTCTTCTGGACTACCCCTGGGGGAGATTAGTAAGGAGGGAAGCACGGTGGCCTTATCCCACCCAGAAACAGTGGCTCACGACCAGCTCTCCCCCTTTCAGCACCTCTTCTCCAGATTAGTGTTTCTGGAGCGACAAAGGATCACGCTTGCCATGAGAAATCGCTCACTTTCCTGCTTATTCCCCCTTGAGCAGACAGATTTCTTTCTGTCCCCCCTCCCCTTGGACTCTCCAAGAAATAGCACTGCACTAGGGAGGTCTACAACGCTGCAAGAACTTACACAGAAGACTACAGGGCTGAGTTTTAAACATGCTCATATAAATAAATTCCCTTCAGGGATGTGACTGGTATTAGAGATCTTCAAAATAAGAGCACAGTCCCGATGGGGATTATTTCTCACCTAAGGAGCTCATCTTCAGCACTGTGCTGAAAAACTGTGTAAGTTCACATGAGTGTCATCACTTCCAGGGCCGGACCCAGAAGGAGAAAGCACAATGACAGCAATGAAAGCACTGGCCTGAAGGAGACGGACCCGTTACCTGTTTGTCCCCTTCATCTGTTCTCTTGTAGGAGTTTTTTTCCAGAGTTGCGTGTGGAACCTGAAACTTAACTCCATGGAGCTCTGCTGGAGTCCCATAGCGTACGTCACTGTCATTTTTCAGCGCCACGAACCGCGGCAGAGGCAGTTCTTCATTGAAAGAGAGAGAAATTCAGTTGGGACTTCAGAACATTAACAGTCTTTGAAGCAGCACCGTGCTGTGAAACCAGTGAAAAGTTCGTCTCTGAAAGAGCACTGTTTATATTTTGTTACGTTGATAAGTGTGGAACTCCTGTAATTATTTTAGGTCTTATTATTTTAGGTCTTAATAAAGATGTGAATGTTACAGAAAGCCACATTTGCTAGCCTTACAGATTATCTCTTAATGCACAGAGAAAGAAATAAGCCTTATGCACATTATTAAAGCAAGCAGCAAACTCACTTCCTGCCTTGAAAACGTTGTCTGTAGTAAAAAGAAGGGTTTCTCATAGAAACTGTGGGACTGATGAATTCATTAGGTCAGGGTGACAGTATTCTCAGTGCTGCCATCATACAAGGAGCAGGTTATAAAGGTAGGGCTCAGAGAGAGCCCTCTCAGGGCCTGGTGAGACGGCTCTGCAGAAAGGTCCCATTTTGCTTCTCCTCTGCAGAGCAGAAGAGTGACACTTTTAAGCAAATGTATCTTTAGGATAATTTGCAATTAGTTTGAGGGAATATTCACTATAAATCATTATTTCTTTTGTACACAGTCACCCCCAAAGATCAATAATGATAGAATTAACAGAGCGTAGCCTTCAAAATCGAGCCACGCATCACCTCTGTAATCATTTACACCTACAACTGCTACCAGGAAGAAAATGAAATCAATTTAGGTTTGCTGCATGCTACTCATCCCACTCTGAAAGCATCAATATATTTCAAGGGAAGATGTAATTAGCACTGAAATGTTTCAGGCCGAGTAAGTAAGCAGGATACCAATACAAGGACCCTTGTTTGCTCAGACTGGTGGATGATGTGCAACTGCTGTACTTGTGAAATGCGCACAGTAAATCTCACTTCAGTTCAGGTTTCTAATTTAGCTTGATTTTTCTCAGACTAACAGTGGCATCCTTAGAAAGATGCGCAATGCAAGACATCGCAGACAAGCCATCTGCAAGGAAAACAGACGGACAAACCCTGATGCGGTCTAAGCCCTGGTCCCATCATGCCAGGATCTGACCCTTCTGCCTCACCGGCAGTTGGGGCGAGGGGCTTGGCACACATGGGTCTGTGGGTGCTTTCACCTGGGAAGGGGCAGACCTGGAAACTTTGCAACTCGTTGCCCTCAGCAGAGGCAGCTGAGCTGAAGCTGTGCCAGCAGTGCTGCCCTGATTGTGAGGCTTTTTCTTTCTGTACATTTAATAACATTGTCGTTCTTTGTGGAGAACAAAGCTGCTTTAAATTACACCTACCATACGTTTACCTATCTAACGACAGGGAGCATTATTTTAGCACGGTTCCCAAAGCACCCCTCCACCCCAGCAGCTATCAGCCCCCGCTGCAGACAGCTGTCAAGATCAGAGCCTGAAGGTGACAGGGAAATGCAGCCACAGCACCGACCAGCTGCCACCTGGCAATGCCTTTAGAGAGGGGCTGTAGGAGTTGGACTCAGTGATCTTTGTGGGTCCTTTCCAACTCGGGATATTCTATGATTTCTGATGCTAATCTCAGCTCTGCCACACGTCATTCAGTGCAGTTTTCTACCAGTCGTTTCCAGAAAGTAACGCTGCCTTCTGCCTTCCTCTGTTCCACAAAATACAATGCTTTCACAGACGAGCTAGAAGGAAAGTTTACCAGCACACAGAGCTTGCAAGCATTAAAGAAAGCAAAAAAACAAGTGCAAAGTGCTGCAGGCAAAATTTACTGCTTACCATTCTTAATGCTCTCGATCCGTACTGGGAACCCCGACTGTGCCGCCGCAATTAACTTCAAAGCAATGTAAAATTGAGCAGGACCAAAATAACCCACGCGCTTGGCTCCACAAACTTCCGTAATCTAGGAGAGAAAAGACGCATTGCTGGTAAAACGCATTTCACTTTTTCAGGGAACGCAAGCAGCTCTGTGCAAACAAGCAAAGCAAAAAGTCCTTACAAAGGCAGAACGCGTGTTGTATTTACAGTTAGCTCGTAGAAGTGTTTGTTCCAATTCGGGATGTTGCTGTTTGATCACAGTCCCCTTAGAACATCAGAGAGAAGTTGTTATTTATTACCATTTTTAGGAGCAGTGCTACCCTAAAATGATTCGTGTGCTTTCACACGAGGTATGATTCCAACAGCAGGTGAAAGGATGGCTTGTCACATGCACTGTCCAGTCAAACGTTTTCACTGCAGAAGCTATGGCACTCGTAGAAAATCCTACTTAGAGTTAGTCCTTCCAACAGCTCAGACGACTGCTGTCACCAGAACATAAATGCAACACGGGCAATTCCCCATCCTGTCGCTTCAGCAGAACACGCTTTGGGGAAAATTAACTCTTGGTGCCGAAGCTCTGTTACCACACATCCCTGACCAGGCTTCGGCCAGCTCCTCCACGAAGCACACAGCTCCACTTTTACACACTCAGACACCAGCTACACGAGCAGCAGCTGCCGGCAGGCTTGCAGCACAGGCCCTATTCCCCACCACACTGAGGTGATCACAGGCAGGCTTCATCAGGCCCTGCAGTCGGACCAAGGCCCACACGCTGCCCTCAGACACAGAGGGAAGCCCCAAGTTGTTTTGCTGTGAACGAGCGTGGATCAGCAATGCCTCCCAGCTGGGGGGGGAAATGGCAATTCTTAATAATCTAAGAAAATTATCTTCAAGCAAAGGTATCTCTGGATGTGGCTTCTGCTGGATGAGCTCTGGTTTTGTTCTCTTCCTGAGAGTTTCTGAGATGCACGGCTCCATTCCTCGATCACGAGATGCATCAAGCAGCTTGCTTTTCTCTGACTGCTTGAAGAAAAGGGAGGTTGGTTCTCTGGACGAGTACAGCTTCAGTAAACCAGCAGAATATGCCGTTCCCTTTCCTCTACGCATTTTATTTTCCCTGAAGCCAGCCCTGAAGTTATTTTTATTTTTTTTTTTATTTTCTCCCTGTAGCTGGCCTTACTGCTTATTTTACATCCAGGTGGGAGCAAGGGTCCTGCAGCAGGACCCAAACCCATGCCATCAGCTTGCCATGAGTTACCGGGGCACTCTTACCAGCAAGAGGCAATGCTGAGCAGCAAGTGGGGCTTCAGCAGCGGGATCAGCATTGCTGGGAGCCACCCGAAAAGAAGCTAAGAGTCACTTCTGCACCCGTGTTTCTGTACCTTGAAATGTTAAGGATGTTGTAAATGATCTGCTCCCCTCCTGATACAGAAACAAAGGCATTTTGTTCTGATAAAGCAGACTTAAAAAGAAAAATAATAATAATTACTTTTATCAAGGGTACACCGTCTTTCAAAAATACCATGCTTTTTCAAACTCTCTGCCTGGAACCGCCTCTTTGTATAATTTCCATCTTCAGTAGTAACAGAAGAAAAATGTTTTGTAGGCACAACCTCCTCCGTGTTATTTCTGCAACTAAGCCCTGATCTCTCGCTAATGGCCCGGAGCAACAGATGGAAGCTGCCACAGCAGCCCCATTTATGACACAAGTAATTGCAGCTATTCACATAGATTAATTGTAGGTACAGGCATTTGTTCTTATTAGTGTCCCCGTGCAGCTAAGGCAGAGGGATGCTTGCTCCCTTCCAGCCAGCAGCTCACACCACCTAAACAAGGACCCTGCTTAGGGCTGCGGGCTGGAGCAGCCTCTCTCTGCAGCAGCAGCAGAGGTAGGTGGCAGATTAGCCTTCACCCAAAATTAAATCCTCAGAATATGCTGCTCACATTCCCATAGCAGCTTAAAGTGAATACTGTCTTTTTTATTTCCCAATTTTACCTTTAGCAGGGTCAGTGCACGTAGTCTCTTGCTGGGCAGATTACATTTAGTGATATTCCTGAAGTTAAGCTAGTTTGTGCCAAGTGCTATTAGGACTCTCCAAGATCCATCTGAATTAAAATCACCATATATGACAATGCAAGATGGCATTTTTTTCAGACTAGACTCTCCAAAATAAAACAGAGTACTTTGGAACTAAGATATATGAAAATATCCCCTGTAAGACAGGGAAACATCAGGACTGCTTTCCTTCAAATGATATTTAAAAACAAATTCTTTTTATCCTCTCCTGTTGTCAGTTTAGGTTATGTTGTTTTCAAGTGAGAGGGCAAGGAAAGAACTGGGATTTTCTATTCACAGGCTGCCAAACAGACACAGATGTAAAACAAAATAAACTGCACACCTCGATACCGCACGGGATCTTAATACAGAACTATCGACAGTCACTTTTCATTGCCTTTTTTTTTAGATTCTTCAGCAGAAAACTGCAATCCCCCAGTGACAGCTGAATGTGGAAGAGAAGTTTAACGCAGAACATGTTGGAAATGCTTTTTCGTGGTGGTAGGTTACCGCTGTGTCTTGCCAAATCTAACCTCAGGGTGATAAACAGAATTAGTCAAAGACTCATCTATTAAATGTTATTTTTTGAGGCAAGAGCATGATGCTGAGCGGACCAGAACTGAGTTTAAATTTCTGCAAGGTGCAACTGCTTAAATGGAACAAATTCACGGGTCACTTGCCAATTGAGAAAAAAAGCTCATTTCACACAGCACGCGAAAACATTTCTCGGAGAAGGATGGAGAGCCACAGTACCTAACCTTGTGCTCGTTCTAAGTCAGTCCTGGAACAATGCCTGTATATTCAATGGCATTTCAGCAAAAAGCCTTAAAACACATGTTCTCTACAAGAATCACACCACCTTCCCTATCACGCAACCGTGAATGATGGGGAGAAAGATCGAGATCTATACACCTGCACGCCCTTCTGATGGGCCAAAAGTTCTTCTACAGTTGTAAAAATAAATAACATTTCTTCTGTCTTCTCTTTAAAATAACAATAAATAAAAAAAAGAAATCTGACTTATCAACATTAAAATTTAAGACACAGCTATTGAGCTGTTTGGAAGAGTGGCTGTTTTAAATTACTGTTCTCCATGTGAACTCCTATTAGGAAGGCTTTACATCTTGAAACGCTGGAACAAAAAGCAGATTTTTGTATTTACTATCCACTCACTGCTCTGCTCTATCGGCTGACAGCGAGTGTTATTTTTGTAATTGCTCCTTGAAGACATCCCACGTGAAGCTGCTTTTCCCAGCACAATCTGACATTGTTCCAGCCCTCCCCGGTTCTCTCCAAACAAGTTTCCACCGCAGCCTCCAAGAGCGCTGACCTCTCAAACACCCTGGGCAGGACTAATTCAGATTTCAAGAGCTAAACTTCAGGAACCAAGCCTAGAACTGAAGTTTGCTGTACATAGGGAAAGAGGTACAATCAGCAACAGCTATTCAGCAACCCTGGAGCAGGTAGGCAGGATGAAGTGGTCATCCTCCAGCTTCAAGGGAAAGTTTTTCACCTGTAAGCATAGGTAAAGCTGGGATTTTTGCTTTTTTACTTCATCATTAACAAGGCTATGTTGTCCTCTGTATCTTGCTGGCATCCAGCTTTTGTCTGTTCTGCTTCCTTGTCACAATCTGCCGTGGTCACTGCCTGTCATTTGTGGGTAAACCCAGCCCAGGAAGGTGAAAGCCCCTGTGAGTGCTGTGATGCTCTGAGAGGAACGTGTATAAGCTGAACGAATGTCCTCTGAAAGAAAAAGAAAATAAGCAACCACTTTGCCTACAAGATGACCAGCTGTGCTGACGCAGCTCCAGGCTCAGCCCTCTACACCAGCCACCCCGTGATAACTTTTACAAAGACAAATATTTGCAGCAGTTTCTTATCAACAGCTTATCTCAAAACCATATCATGCCTCTGACCCACTTCGCTCTTTTTTTTGTTGTTGTTGTTTAATTTTCTGTTTACAGATTTTGATCTGCCGGTCGTGGACAAGTTTTGCTGCATTCTTAAACAGGTAATTCTTTCTGAATGGATCATTGTTCAAATACCTGTACCACTGCCTGGAGCCCACGGCTACGTGTCTCTTATTTATCTAAAGCGAAGTAAGGAACAACACGTTGTGGACACAGGAGGTGTGCCCAGGAAGGCAGCAGGAACGTGCTGGAGCAGCTTCCACCCGGAGGAAGGGGCTCTGCTGTGGACTGGGGGGTTGTTAGCCTTGCTCCTCTGCCTCCACAGTATTTCTGTAACCATACATTTACTCCGCTGCCTTGTCTTTTAAAAATTGATGCTTTAGCTGGTTTAGGCTCTTTTAAACAGCACCTGAGAAGCTCACTAAAATTTGGCTATGTTGAGCAAACAGGGTTCTGGCACCTAAAATGAAAGGAAATGGAAATGGCTTACTTTATGACACACAAGGTAACACATACATAGGGCACTTCTGAAGACCTAGCTACAAAATCTGACTGTTTAAGCTGTGTGTGACCCCAGTTTAAAATTACAGTGTCCTTTTAGCCGAAGTTGTAAGGCAAGCTACTGATAAGCTACTGTAGCTTAGCCACCGCAGTTACCGCAGTTGTAAAAGCAGCAGGAAGCAACCACATCTGCTGCATAAAACGTGCCGACAGCCCCACCAGAGCTTCCCCAGACCCCCCCATGCTGGCAGGAGGCAGAATCACACACGTCTGCACACACAAGTGCTCCCCACACCGCCCCACCTGGGCGCTTCTGCAGGGCCAGCTCTTCCCTCAGGATGGGCAAAGCACTTGCCAGGCAGCCCCAGGCAGAGCATTTGGTGCCGACCCCAAGAACTGCAAAGTTTATGGTGCAGTGCACGTTTGCGCACACACGCACATGCACTCAGGGACTGAATTACGTGTGAACACTAAAAACGTTTTCAAATTACTCTAAGTCTTATGTTAACTTGGTCAAAGCAAGGGTCTAGGGAATCCCCTATCCTGTATCATCAGCTGCAGACACCTGGAGAAACTGAAGCACACAAATCTCACAGTCCTTCTCTTCACAGAGCAGGA